CATCTCGATCATGCCACTTTGCTCAGTTACCCTCCCGAGAAGAGCGAGATGCCAGATCTCACTACTGCTAGAGAGAAAAAGACAAGAGAGAAAGCTTCAAGGTAAATATCGGCGATCGGGCGACTTCAGCTAGCTTCAGCTGGGGCTGCTTTGGAAAAGTCTTGCATCCTGAATCACGACAAAGGGCAGGCGAAGCCCAAGGAGCTGAGGCCGATCCCGAGCTTTGCCGCGACGGAGGTCGGGACAATAGTATGGACAACCACGGCCACCTCGCCTTCCTCCTGACCACCTCCTGCTCCTTCCCCTCCTCCTCCATACTCCCTGCTGCACCTCCTCCTCCTCCTCCTCCACCTCGTCCCCCTACGCCGACGCGAGGGCGCTCCATCCTGGAAGTTGCTACGCACCGCAAGCTGCGCGATCTCCTTCGGGTCCGCGTCGTCGCATACGACGAAGGGGTCCTTGCTGGGCGTCTAAGCGACACCAGTGGCGACTCGTACAGAAACCATCGTTACATCATCAAGCATCGACGTCATCGCCATCCTCGTACTTATAATCGACGGCATCGCCATCACCAGTGTCAGTTGCATCATCGCCATTGTGCAACATCACCGTCACGCACCATCACCATATCGCATCATCATCATCAGCATCATCATCATCATCACCACCACCATCATCATCATCATCATCATCATCAGCAGCAGCATCATCATCATCATCATCATCATCATCATCATCATCATCATCATCATCATCATCATCATCATCATCATCATCATCATCATCATCATCATCATCATCATCATCATCATCATCATCATCATCATCATCATCACATCATCATCATCATCATCATCATCATCATCATCATCATCATCATCATCATCATCATCATCATCATCATCATCATCATCATCATCATCATCATCATCATCATCATCATCATCATCATCATCATCATCATCATCATCATCATTAGTATCATCATCCTCCTCGTCGTCGTCAACATCACCATCACCAGAATCACGCATGATCATTTCCATGATCAGCAGCACCGACATCAGCATCAGAACCGTCATCACCGATAGTACAATCGAAAGCAGCAGCACAAACGTCCTCAACACCATCTCAATCACCGCCCTCATACGATCACAATGAGAACCTGATCACTGACGGTCTTAGAGTACAAGGAGTAATAAGTTCCTATTACTCTGTCTATCCAATGTGTACCTACTTCGCTGCACGCACCGTCCCCCATCCCGAGGCCACACTCCTTCGCAAGATACAACAAGTTCGCGCTCCCGAGGTCACAACAGATGCGCGCTCCCGACACCAAGATGCCTCCAAGACGGCCCAAGATGGCTCCAATTAAACCCACTTCGGCCTTAAGACGGCCAAAGAGGGCCTCCCGTGGGACCCAAGACGTCCTTCGAAGGCCCTTCGACTGCCCAAGACAGCACCAAGACGGCCTTACGACGGTCCCCAGGTACCGACCATGCGGCCAAGAAGTCCCCAGGACGGCCCTAGGGAAAGAGCGCCAGTGGATCACCTGGAAGACACAAAAGGGGGGTGTGCTCCAGGGAACCCCCCCCCCCTCCCCCCCCCCCCCCCCCCCCTTGAAGGGGGGGGGGGGGTTCGGAACCCCCCCCCCCCCCCTCCCCCCCTTTCCGCAGGGGTCCGGTGCGAGCGAGCCGAGCGCGCGGACTGTTGGACGTAGGGGCCGTCGGGGGCAGGACTCTGAAAGCTTTGCGGGTGTGCGGGCGGGCCCGAAGGGCCCGCCCGCACACCCGCAAAGCTTTCAGAGTCCCGCCCCCGACGGCCCCTACGTCCAACAGTCTGCGCGCGAGGCGAGCGAGGTTTAGGGTTTTGGGTTAGGGTTAGGGGTTAGGGCTTAGGGCTGAGGGTTTAGGGTTTAGGGTTTACACAACGTATTAGCGTCTGCGGGTGTCGCGGCGGCCCCAATTGGTGTGCGCTATCGCCGAGAGCGCTTCCGCGCGTGCCCGCTCGAAGATCGCGCCCCCTTCCGCGCGGCGGCTGTCTCCCAGACGTCCCAGAAGCGCCCATTGCGCGCCTTTCGCGTGTGCCCGCTCGCATTCTCGCATGCGGCGCACTCCGCGCTCGGGCTCCCGCCGCGGCGCCCCCGCGCCCGCTGCGGCCGCGGGCTTTCCGCCGGCCGCTGCGGACCGGTCGGGTTGGAACCTGGGCCGGGGCTGCCGGCCGGCCGGGCGAGGGTGGGGTTGGCTTCGGGGTCGGCTGCCAGGGGGCGGCAAGGGCCGAGCGGGCGCTTCGCGCGCTTCGCGACATCGGCGCTTCAGTCATATACCGGGGACAGGAATTCGGCCAGGGGGCGCGTTGCCGGCCGCGTCGGGACTGGGGCCGCTCGGGCGACGACCTCGGACGGCTGGCCGGGCGGGCCAGGGTCTGGCCGGCTCTCGGCGTGCTTCGCGACACTGGCGCTGTAGTCTTTTGCCGGGGACAAGGATTCGGCCAGGGGGCGCGCCTCCGGCCGGGCGGGGCTGGGGGCGTAGGGAAGCCGCGGCGGCTGCATGGGGCCGGCGCTGCGACCGGCTGGCCGGGGGGGGCGTGCGTGCCCGCTCATTCGAGCTCGCTCAATACGTGGTGTTTTTCGTCTTGAGGGTTTAGGGTTTAGGGTTTAGGGTTTAGGGTTTACACAACGTATTAGCGTCTGCGGACCTCGCGGCGGTTCCAATTGGCCTGCGCTCTCGCCGAGAGCGTTTCCGTGCGTGCCCGCTCGAAGATCGCGCTCCCTCCCGCGCGGCGTCTGTCTGCCTGCGCTGTTCCGAGAGCGCTTCCGTGCGTGCCCGCTCGAAGATCGCGCCCCCTCCCGCGCGGCGGCTGTCTCCCAGACGCCCCAGAAGCGCCTACTGCGCGCCTTTCGCGCGTGCCCGATCGCAGGCGCTGCGCCTGCTGCGGAGCGCGCTGCGCGCGCTTCTAGGCACGTCGCGACGCGGGCGCGAAATGCAGCGACTGCGGCATTCCCGCCAGCTGCGAAGCGCGATGCGCGCGCTCCTGGGAGCGCCTGGGAGCACCTGGGAGCGCCTGGGAGCGCCTGGGAGCGCTTGGGAGCGTGCCGGGAGCGCGCCGGGAGCGTGCCGGGAGCGCCCGGGAGCGTGCCGGGAGCGCCCGGGAGCGCCTGGGAGCGCTTGGGAACGCTTGGGACCGTGCCGGAAGCGTTCGGGAGCACCTGGGAGCCCCTGCCTGGGAGCGGACCTCGCGGCGGCCTCAATTGGTTCCCGCCAGTCGGCTTGGCTACGATCCTTCGTAAAACGCGTGGGATTCGCATCGCGACGGCAAGATTTCGGGCCTGCCGATGCCGTGATCTCTCGTAAAACACAACGGGGTCGCGTCGCGACGGCTTGCGCGGAGCGCTTGTCGGGCCACCTCGAACGCGCTTTGCGACATCGGCGGTTCAGTCATATACCGGGGACAGGAATTCTGCCAGGGGGCGCGTTGCCGGCCGCGTCGGGACTGGGGCCGCGGGATGAGGCTGGCGGCTCGGGCGACGACCTCGGACGGCTGGCCGGGCGGGCCAGGGGCTGGCCGGCGCTGCCAGCGCTTCGCGACACTGGCGCTTGAGTCATATACCGGGGACAAGGATTCGGCCAGGGGGCGCCGCGGTATCAATTGGTTCTCGCCAGTCGGCTTGGCTACGATCCCTCGTCAAACACATGGGATTCGCGTCGCGACGGCAAGATATCGGGCCTGCCGAGGGGATGGCCGCCGCTTCCGGACCCTGCGCGGGCGCCGGCCCAAGCGCTCCCAGACGCTCCCGGGCGCTCCCGGCACGCTCCCGGGCGCTCCCAAGCGCTCCCGGCACGCTCCCGGCACGCTCGCAAGCGCAGGCGCTCCCTAGCGCTCCCGGTACGCTCCTGGGCGCTCGCGGCACGCTCCCGGGCGCGCCCAGGCGCTCCCGGCACGCTCCCGGCACGCTCCCAAGCGCTCCCAGGCGCTCTCAGGCGCTCCCAGGCGCTCCCAGGTGCTCCCAGGCGCTCCCAGGAGCGCGCGCAGCGCGCTGGGACGCTTCTGGGACGTCTGGGAGACAGCCGCCGCGCGGGAGGGCACCGGGAGCGTGCCGGGAGCGCATGGGCTCGCTTACATCATTCGGTATGGTATCGTTTCACTGTCTTTCGCAATGGCACCATTCGAGCTTGCTCAATACGTGGTGTTTTTCGTCTTGAGGGTTTAGGGTTTAGGGTTTAGGGTTTAGGGTTTAGGGTTTAGGGTTTAGGGTGTCCCCTGTCAGCGCTTGCTGATTATCATTCGTGTAGGACCACCCCCACCCATAAAATGGAGTGGGGGTGGGGTAGTCGTGTTGAAGTGATATCATGTTGAGCGGAATCATGTTTCGGCTACAGGGCCAGCTCCCCTCTTCACACTCCCACCCCGCGCCCGTTAGGGCGGCGAACCACCCACGGCTTTCTCTATTAGGGTTTAGGGTTCATTCGATAATCGAGGTTCTCTTTCCCTTAGGGCTCCACGATTCCAATCGGTTTGGCGATCTTGCTCATGGGTTCGACATACAATGCTTTGTGTATCACACGTACACAGATAGCCTCCTAGGTCTTAAGATATGCGCAATCCTGGGTTTAGGGTTGACGCTTTGCGTCGGGGGAAAGAGTTTGGGGTGGAACGCCGCGCAGGCGTTTGATTGTGCGCTTGTGGCGCCGGCTCCGCTCGCTTCGCTCGCTCCGCCGATACCGCTCCTCTTGAACTATGACATCCAATTGGCGCGCCGAGGAGCGCCCTGGGCGCTGGGCGGCAGCTGAGTCACCGTGAATGGCGCCTGGGGTGCCCTGGAAGGCGTTGAGAGAGCCTTGGAGGGCCCTCAGGAGGGCCCTTGGGGAGCTCCTGGGTGGCTCTTGAAGAGCTCCTGAAGGGTTCTGGAGGTCCGGGTGGGCTCCTGGAGGGCTTCGGGCGGAGCTAATTCACCGTGGCGCGCGCCCTGGAGGGGCCCTGGGGGGCTCCTGGGGTGCTCCTGGGGGGGCTCCTGGGAAGCTCCTCGGAGGGCTCCTGGAGGGCCTCGGGCGGGAGCTAATTCACCGTGGCGCGCGCCCTGGGGGAGCCCTGGGTGGCTCCTGGTGGGCTCCTGGGGAGCTCCTGGGGGGGCTCCTGGAGGGCCTCGGGCGGGAGCTAATTCACCGTGGCGCGCGCCCTGGGGGGTGCCCTGGGGTGCTCCTGGGGAGCTCCTGGGGGGCTCCTGGTGAGCTCCTGGGGTGGGCTCCTGGAGGGCCTCGGGCGGGGGCTAATTCACCTTGGCGCGCGCCCTGGGGGAGCCCTGGTGGGCTCCTGGGGGGGCTCCTGGGAGGCTCCTGGAGAGCTCCTGGGAGGGCTCCTGGAGGGCTTCGGGCGGGAGCTAATTCACCGTGGCGCGCGCCTTGGGGGTGCCCTGGAGGTGCTCCTGGGGGGCCCCTGGGGAGCTCCCGGAGGGCTCGTGGAGGGCCTCGGGCGGGAGCTAATTCACCGTGGCGCGCGCCCTGGGGGTGCCCTGGGGTGCTCCTGAGGGGGCTCCTGGTGGGCTCCTGGGGAGCTCCTGGAGGGGCTCCTGGAGTGCCTCGGGCGGGAGCTCATTCACCGTGGCGCGCGCCCTGGGGGTGCCCTGGGGGGCTCCTGGAGGGCTCCTGGGGGGCTCCTGGGGAGCTCCTGGGGTGGGCTCCTGGAGGGCCTCGGGCGGGTGCTAATTCACCGTGGCGCGCGCCCTGGGGAGCCCTGGAGGGCTCCTAGAGGGCTCCTGGGAGGGCCCCTGGAGTGCCCTTGGGAGGGCTCCTGGAGGGCCTCGGGCGGGAGCTAATTCACCGTGGCGCGCGCCCTGGGTGTGCCCTGGGGAGCTCCTGAGGGGCTCCTGGGAGGCTCTGGGGAGCTCCTGGGGGGCTCCTGGAGGGCCTCGGGCGGGAGCTAATTCACCGTGGCGCGCGCCCTGGGGTGCCCTGGGGGCTCCTGGGGGGCTCCTGGGGGCTCCTGGTGAGCTCCTGGGGACGCTCCTGGAGGGCCTCGGGCGGGAGCTGATTCACCGTGGCGCGCGCCCTGGGGGAGCCCTGGAGGGCTCCTGGAGTGCTCCTGGGGTGCTCCTGGCGAGCTCCTGGGAGGGTTCCTGGAGGGTTTCGGGCGGGAGCTAATTCACAGTGGCGCGCGCCTTGGGGGTGCCCTGGGTGGTTTCCGAGGGGGCTCCTGGTGAGCTCCTGGGAGGGCTCGTGGAGGGCCTCGGGCGGGAGCTAATTCACCGTGGCGCGCGCCCTGGGGGTGCCCTGGGGGGCTCCTGAGGGGGCTCCTGGTGGGCTCCTGGGGAGCTCCTGGGGGGGCTCCTGGAGTGCCTCGGGCGGGAGCTCATTCACCGTGACGCGCGCCCTGGGGGTGCCCTGGGGGGCTCCTGGAGGGCTCCTGGTGGGCTCCTGGGGAGCTCCTGGGGTGGGCTCCTGGAGGGCCTCGGGCGGGGGCTAATTCACCGTGGAGCGCGCCCTGGGGGGGCCGTGGGGGGCTCCTGGTGGGCTCCTGGGGGGCTCCCAGGCTTTCGCAGGCGCTCCCAGGCGCTCCCAAGCGCTCCCAAGCGCTCGCAGGCGCTCCCAAGCGCTGCCCAGCGCTGCGCCCTGGGGGGCCCGGGAGCTCCCGGGAGGCTCCTGGGTGGCCAATTCACCGCGCGCCTGGTCTGGGGCCCCCCTCGCGCGCCCGAATCGCGAGGGACGTCCCCGGGGCGCCCAGGAGCGCCCTGGGGCCTTGGGCGGTGGCAAATTCACCGTGCGCCTGGTCGGACCCCCGGGGCGGTGGCTAAATTCCCGCGCCTGGTCTGGGGCCCCCCTGGCGCGCTCGAAAATCGCGAGGGGACGTCCCCGGGCGCCCAGGAGCGCTCCTGGGGCCTTGGGCGGTGCAAATTCACCGTGTCGACTTGGTCGGACCCCCCGGGGCGGTGGCTAATTCAACCGTTGCGCCTGGTCTGGGGTGGCCCTGGCGCGCCCGAAGTCGCGAGGGACGGTCCCCGGGGCGCACATGAAAGCTCCCGGCCCTGGTCCTGGGGGGGCCCCCTGGCGCGCCCGAGTCGCGAGGACGCCCCCGGGGGCCCCGGAGCGCCCTGGGGCCTTGGGCGGTGGCAAATTCACCGTGCGCCTGGTCGGATCCCCCGGGCGGTGGCTAATTCACCGCGCGCCTGGTCTGGGGGGCCCCTGGCTCGCCCGAGTCGCGAGGGACGTCCCCGGGGCGCCCAGGAGCGCCCTGACGCCTGGTCTGGGGCCCCCCTGGCGCGCCCGAATCGCGAGGGACGTCCCCGGGGCGCCCAGGAGCGCCCTGGGGCCTTGGGCGGTGGCAAATTCACCGTGCGCCTGGTCGGACCCCCCGGGCGGTGGCTAATTCACCGCGCGCCTGGTCTGGGGGGGGGGGCCCTGGCGCGCCCGAATCGCGAGGGACGCCCCCGGGGCGCCCAGGAGCGCCCTGGGTCCTTGGGCGGTGGCAAATTCACCGTGCGCCTGGTCGGACTCCCCGGGCGGCGGCTAA